TGCTGGGCAGGGGGATGGATCCTGCTGGATGGGGACGGGGACAGGCAGGGGCTATGTGTCCATCCGTGCCTCACTGCTGCCTTCTCCAGGTGCCCGAGACCCCCGAGAACAGCACAGACGGCGAGGAGCCGAGTCCACCCGGGACGGCCGAAACGCGGGACGAGCTGTGAGCCCTGTCCCACTCATGCTATAAACAACCTGGAAACGATGTGGGCTCTGCTCTGTGTCTGTGGGTGCCCAGGATGCCTTAGGGAGCACCCACGTGTCTTGGGGACACAGCAGGGCTGGTGGGTGCCATGGCGGGCAGAGCCCCCACCGCTCAGCTGAACCCGGGGCGGGGGGGTGCTGCGAGGGCCCCTGCTGCAGGGGTGCTGAGCCAGCATGGCCCCCGTGTGTGCCGTGGCGCTCATCCTGGCAGCCCTGAGATGACCCAGGGTGGCCAAGGCCATGCAGAACACAGCCCTGGGGGGAGCCTGGAGTGCTCATGCTGGGCTGCCGGGGCGCAGGTGCTGGGGGGGACCAGCCAGGGTCTCTCCTTCGTGGCTCCCAGGCACCCTTCCCAGGCCTGGGCTCTGCAGTTGTGTACCAGCCCCAGGAGCTGCTGTCACAGCTGGGGAAGGCAGGAAGAGCCCAAGATGGAGCTCCACATGCTCCTCTTAAGCCTGGCTCGCAGCTGCTGGGACCCCGCAGCGGCCCCTCCAACCCCTGGCACTGTCCCTTCTGCTGCTCCCAGACCCTGAGTGATTCCCCTGGGGGCAACACTTTGGTCCCCTGGGGCTGGGATCTGCCCGGCCACCCCTCGAGGGAGCCCACGGCTGCCCCAGCCCCACCACGTGCCCAAGCCCATGGGCCAGAGCAGGGCTCTTCACCTGACCTGTCCCATCCTCCGGCCGCCCCAGCCGGCTGCCGGGCGCCTGCTTCGCGGGGAAGGAAGAAACCAGCAGGCGATGGGACGTGGGGTTTTATTTCGTTTTATCCAAGTACCTTTGAAAAGATCATTGTACAAGTCAGCACATGAGAATGCAGAAGGAGACGTCGCCGGGGCTGCGCGGCCGCTTTACATATTTACAGGGGATCCCCCCCCTGAGAAAAAAAGGGGGAGATGGCAATCCCGGGCATGTTAACAACCTCACCAGACACAACACCATCAGAACTTAAAAAAAAAAAAAAAAGGGAGGAAAAATGCTCGTAACGCTGTTCCCGGGCTGAAAATCATTGCGGATTTTGCTGGACTTCGCGTAGCGTATAGGCAAGTCACAGACCCGTGATTTAAAGGCACTCGGTGACATATACAACAGGCTGAGTCGCACCTTGGCGCGGTGCCCAGGGTCCCCGGCAGCTCCGCCGCGCTGCCGCAGCCGAGAGCAGGGCCAGGCAGGGCGAGTGCCGATGTGGAAACCCCCGAGCTTCGGGGGCCACCCTGGTTTCTGCGGGTGGGCGAGGGCTGGTCTCCGAAGGAGCTGGCGTGGAGCCGTGGCCGTGCTGGAGCAGGGCAGGGCCCAGGCTGGGGGGTGGGCAGGGCTGAGGGCAGGGTGGTGGGAACACCGGCACGGCCCCCAGCTTTCTTGCATCCAAGTAAGCCCAGAGGCTTCCCAGGGTGCCAGCTGCCCCACTGGGTGACCTGAGCCTGCACCAGCCCCACAAACTGGCATCAACAACCCCCCTTGCGCTGGGCAGCAGTGCCCTCATGCTGCCTCCCCCAAGACACGGAAGCCGACAAAAGACGCATGACTCCCAAAAAGACATTTTGTCCTCAGCTTTAGCATCTGATCAGTTCCCTCCCCTATTACGTTTCTCCTAAAAAGTCCCCTGACCAAAGCTGGAGCTCGGCACCAGGGGCCTGGGCACGTCTGCGCCAGGCACACGGGTGCCAGCCCGCTGCAGAACGGCAGCACCCTCCTTGGGAAGCAAACCCTTCTCCAGGGGCACACGGGGCAGGGGACGAGCATGCGGGGCCGTGGGATGCCAGCACCCAGCCTGCCGCCCCAGCTCTGAGCCGGTCCTTGTACCGCGGGAAGCCCCTGGCCCCGTGAGCTGGCACCGACCCTTCTACCCTTCGGGGATTTACTCGGTCGCAAGAAAGCTCAGGAGGAAAAAAAAAAAAAACAAACCAAACCATCCTACCATGTCCAGCAGCTGAGACTGCCAGGGAGGCAAGAGACCGACTGGTTCCAAAAGGCTCAATAATCTTCGGAGGTGAGCTGGGACCACAGCCCCTCCGGAGGGGGGGGGGAGCGGCTCTGCCCCGGCAGCGCTCCAAAGCCATCCATGCCGGGGGGCCTGAGCAGGGTGCCGTGAAAGCGAGGAGCAGGCGGAGTCTGGTGGATGGCTGTACACTTTGGGCGAGTTCTGCAGTACCTGTATGTTTTACATTTACATAAGAGCACTGTGACATTGGAAATATTTTCCTTTTATTACAATATATCAAAAATATGCAGCTTTAGTAAACAAGGTCATATTACACTTTCTAATGCACTGTACAATGCTACATTACACTTATATTCGGTATGGAGAGGGAGCCCAGGCTCCCACTGGCAGGTTCGTGGGGTGAAACGGCGTCCACCGGCAACCTGGAGCTCGCCCAGGTCCGTGCCGGAGCAGGCTGCCGCCCTCCGCCCTGGGCTCCTCTCCTCCGGTCCCAGAGTCTTTCACAGTCCTGTCCTCATGCCTCAGCAGCCCTGGAGCTTAGTCGATCTTTTCCACCTTCCCGATGATCTTTTCTTCAAAGATGGGCAGGATGGTGTCATCCTCCCGCACCTCCTCGAAGACCACACCACAGTCGAACTCATCACTCACTTTCTTAAAGTAATACCTGAAAAACCAGAAACATGGGGGCAGAGAAGAAAAAAAGGCAGGTGAATGGTCAGGAGGGCACCACGGTCCCCAGATCTGGGTACAGCCATGGCCCTGAGCTCATGGTGCACGGGAAGCAGCTCCCCCAGACATGGAGGCAAACTGGGGCCACATTTCTGCCCCTGCCCTCACCCAGTGAGCAAAAAAGAGTGGTCAGGATCCATGCTGGCACGTTCAGGAGCTCCAGCCCTGAACCCAAGCCCATTCACGTCTCTCCCAAACGCAGTGGCTGGAGGCACCCATGTCAGTGGAGCGTTTCTAGGCAGGCTTTCCCATGGCAGATCCTGCTCGGAAGGGGGAACTTGGAGAGCTACGTGCCCCACGCCTGGCTGCTTTGGGATGCTGGCAGGACCCAACCTCCCTATCCTCACCCAAGTAAACTTCGGGAGGAGCCGAAACGGCTCTGGAAATGGGAAGGTTTCCCACAGCATCACTGAACACCAGCTGATGCTGCTCCTCACCAGCCCAGACCCCACAGGGCAGCTCAGGAGCTTCTCTCGAAGGTGTAAATCGTGATGCAGGACATTTCTGCTACAAAACCCAATCTCCCTCGTCCCTGTAACCTGCCTCTTCAAGAGCCACGGCGCCCTGGCCGTGCTGCCACATCCCCAGCACAGCATGCCCTGTGGGACCCCTCCTGGGAGGCTCCAGAAGTCCCCCTGACCCACCTCCACCACACTCCTTCATCTTGGAGGGGGCAACATCGCTGCCTGCTGGCAACGGCATCTGCCAGGGGTCACTGACAGTCTGCTGGCACCACGTCCCACGCGGGGAGCAGCCCTTACCTGTAGTTCCCTTTCTTGGTCAGCAGCTCCTTGAACTGTCCCAGCGTCACCACGCGCCCTTTGACGAGGGTGCGGTAAGGGATCGGCTCTCCACAGAAGTAGTAAGCGACCACGATGTTCTCGCATGGCTGGGACGCGCCGCTGCCCGGTCTTTTCTGGGGCTTCAACCTGCCGTGCAAAAATACAAGCGACCTGCTGAGTATCAGCCCACCTGCCAGCGTGGGCAGGCCCAACAACCTGTATCTGCAGAGATGGAGATGCTGAATCAACACCCTCAGGAGCATCCTTTGCTCCAACCACCAGCTCTTGCAGCACGCAGCCGCACGCTGAGGCTGGTGAAGGAGCGAATGGCACTTGGAAAGGCTGGATGGGATCAGATGGCAGCTACAAGGAGGGCGCAGGTTCTAGCTCAGCCCCTTCGTGCTGAAGAAACCCTGGGCTTTGAGAGGCGATTGCCCTTCCCGCAGGACCACCGGCTTGGGGAGTCATCGGAAAGCTCTGGGCAAGGCAGAACATCCCAAGCCCACAGCAGCAGCCCCAGGTCACTATCAGCATGCTCCTGGTGCGCGCTGAGCACGCAGGGCTGGATGAGTGCCTGGGGATGATAACACAAACACTGCTCAAACCGCTCTGGATTCTTGCTGCTGTGGCCAACATAGCTCAGCCTGGCTTCCCGCTGACCTCCATCTGCAGGGCTGCGCAGACAGGACCGCTCCTGCTCCCCATGGTCCCCCCCAGGCCCCTCTCCCAGTGTAGACAGAGGTCGGAGGGGATGGAGGTCCCAGCAGGACACGCCCCGGAGGCTTCACTGCCTGTCCCATCCGCAGAGGGTGGCAAGGCAGCCGTCATCCCCAAAACCTCAGTGACTTTACATCTCCTGTGTTTTCCTGACTCTCAGGATGTTGGTCTGGTCTCTGCTTCCAGCCCACACACCGGGGTTCTGCTACGTGGTGCCACCACTAGACCAAAAGCGTCAGCCCAGCCCTAAGCCCATTTTCAGAGGTAGACAAAAGTAGCAATAATAAAAATCAGGGTACTTTGCCCTTCTGTAGAGCCTTTCATCTGAGGCGCTGTAAATGTTGCACAAACATTGCAGGAGCCTACACAAATCGGTAACTTGGCATGTGTGGTCTAAGCCAGAGGCAGTCTTCTCTTTCAAAGTCACATAAAACAAATTTGGCAGCTTTAAAAAAATTATTTAAAAAGCATGCTGGATAAAAAAGATGATTCTGTATTTACATGGCTGGAAAGTTGCTATAAACCCCAGAATTTGCCAAGCACATGAGGTAATCGCCGTTTTGGAAATGACTCTGACCCTAACCTTTAAACATTGGCTTGCGCGCAGAGCACCTTTTTAATGGCATGCCCACGTAAACATCAGCATCGCAAACCGAGACCAGACACCATCTTTTCACTTCTTTCTAAAGGCGTGAGAGGTCTAAAGTTCACCCAAACAGCCCTCCTGGTGCCTGCTCTGCCTGGGAGACCTTTGGAGAAGATGCAGCGTCCTGAGAGGCAAGGGTCCACTCCTGGCGCCAGCAGAGCACTGGGAGCCTCTCCCATTGCCATATCAAAGCACAGGATGCCCTTTAGCTAGAAAAACATTAAGGAATTGAATCATCCTTGGAATAAAAAAAAAAAAAAAAAAAAAAAAGGAGCCATTTAAAGGAAAAATGGGTCATAAATTCAGGCAAATTCTGTGAACCCTGTGAGCCAGAAGTTAATTGAAGGGGTTTGGAAAACCTCAAAGTCCCTAAGCTTCCCTTAATCCTGCTAGGAACAAGTCGTGACTAAGAGAGAGCTGCTGCATGCCTGGGGACCTGGGGACACAGCTACGTCCCTTGCGCAGGCGGCAAGGCCGGATCCCCGGGGCTGCCATTTTCCTTTGCCTGGGGAGATGGCGAGGACCCCCTCAAGCTCTGCCACGGCAGAAGGAAGAGGGGGACGATGCCAGTGGCTGGGGGGCCCTCTCCCCCCC